GGCCCTTAACTCACCCAGCTGCTCCCCTAAGCCCTTGAAATGACCGCTCTCTGCTCCACGCACGTGGGCTGTGGTAGTTCAGTGCTTGGTGGTTGCATCAGGAAGGGAATCTGGCATTAAATAATTGCCAAATCCTCATGTGAGTTCACTCATGGTGGCACTCCCTAAAAAAGGGAGCAACTAAAAGAAGTAAAAAATAAAATAAAAATGTATTTTGTAATAAGACGCCTAGCTTGCAGACAACAGCTTCTGTCACATTCACATATTCATTATTAAAGCATCGTTTGATTATTCATTCATAAAACATGGTGATATTAGTGTTTCTTTTTTTTTTTTCAGGCTGCTGACAGTATTTCCAATTGAAGCCATTGTCTCAGTTTATAAATTGTACTGTTAATTTTGCAATTCATGCTCTTTGGATGTGAACCGCCCACACAGTTTCACTGAGAACACACATTTATAAAGTGTGATTTCAGGTTCCCAAACCTTTATTCAGAGAGCAAAGTTAACGAAGAGTTTATAAAACTAAGAAGAAGGAGTTCAACAAAGTTCTATTTTTTCCAGCTGACACTAGACAGGTTCACTCATTTTCTTAGTAACTGTGTTCACATTTTTAACTTCACTTTTACAGTTAATGTTGACAACATTACAAGCATTACAACCAATGTGAACATTTCTTTAATTTTATTTTATTTTATGCAATTGTTCATGTTTAAAACTCTCTGAGATTTTAATGAAAACATGCATTTAATTAAAATCTAATTCTTATTGTCATATTTACTATGTTAATTAAAAATCTTACCTTATTCCCCTCTGGTGTCTTCACCCTCCTAACTGCCTTTTAATCACTTAAATGCTAAATTTTCTAATTGCCTCTTGTGCCATTTTTAACTAAGAACACATGAGCTAACAATACTCTCCTCCTGTCAGCCAGTCAGTGTGGGCTTTGTGAATAGCACCAGGTTTTTCCCAAGAGGACCTCCTACAATGTGACAGTTAATCATTTTCCAGTGTTCACATTACAGTACGATAGGGGCCAGAGCTAAGAAATGTTTCAAGGTTAACAAGAAGGATACTTGGTTAAATTCAGTTGGTTTTTGGATGGGATGGGCATAATCTTGAATGTCAATAATACATCAGCAATCACGTCTTAAATAATTTGAATGCGATTTATTTTATGACACGTTGGGCATTTAATTGGTTGAGATTTGTAATCCATGAAAACAAAGGTATTGTAGGGAAAGGTGTGAGGCAAGAAGTTGGGTCTTTTTAAGGATTTAGATTTTTTATGTTGTTTAATACCATCTTGATTACTGATTCCTCACTGAATCACTGACGGTCACAAAGCTGGTCAAATGTATTGGGACAGAGATATTATCGTAGCCATTTGGATGGTAGTATATACAGCTTTTTTCTGTTAGTCTTTAATTAGAGTTAAAGTTAGAAACAAGTTTTGTAGCACAAATGAAGACAATAAACAGTATTATAATATTTACACTGAACATAGCCTTCATGGCAATTCCTTAAATTGATTTTTACTGTGCTGGAGCAGGTTTAGCCCCTTTGTTACCATGGAGATTCAGCAGTGGCCATAATGGACCTCCTTCAGGATACCAAGAACTAACTTTCAGTTCAACATAGATGTCTAACCATTGCAGGGACTGAGAGCCTTGCTCAAAGGCCCAGGATGGGGCAAATGAGGGTGAAGACAGGTGTGGGTGTTTCACCTTTCCCACCAACATTTTGACGATGTCGGTCTGGGAAGTTGACCCGGCGATTTTCCAATCACAGGCCAACCTTCTCTAACCTCTGCGCCACCTCTCCCCCAGTAATAAAATACTCTAAATAAGTAATGAAATATAATAAAATTAAATAAAAAGGACAAAAAAACCCTTTAGTAAATAATTTCATGACTTTATAATGTTACCTAGACCAGAGGTGTCCAATACTGGTCCTCAAGGATCACTATATGTGATGATATATACTGTGTGTGTATATACAAATATATATA